TAGCCTATTAAGTCTAAATATTTAAGTATTTGGCGCTGTGATGAACACCATAGCGAAATACAAAAATCTGAATGGCTATTTAAATCATTTAAATACGTTTTAGAAAGTAGGGCAGCTGCTTTATTTATGGGGTTTCCAGGGTAACGGCTGCATTTTCTGCAGTTTAGCGGCATCTGCTGTCAGAGAGTGTGCGCTTTCATTCAGCGCGTCTCTCACGTGTTCCGTCATGTGCTTCTCATCCGTGCTTGTTTACATCTATCCATGCCTTTATTACGTCTCGGCTGGATTATTGCAACGCCCTCTATTTCAGAATATCAAAGTCCCAAATCTCTCGGCTACAAGTAGTTCAAAATGCAGCAGCTAGATTCTTGAAGTGGTGTAAAAAGTTTGATCATGACACTCCCCTCTTGCGATCATTGCATTGGCTGCCAGTTCACTATCTAATTGAGTTTAAAATATTGCTACTTGTCTATAAATCACTTAACAGGCTATCTAAATCATTTAAATACGTTTTAGAAAGTAGGGCAGCTGCTTTATTTATGGGGTTTCCAGGGTAACGGCTGCATTTTCTGCAGTTTAGCGGCATCTGCTGTCAGAGAGTGTGCGCTTTCATTCAGCGCGTCTCTCACGTGTTCCGTCATGTGCTTCTCATCCGTGCTTGTTTACATCAGAGTGCGCACGCATCTTTCACGCAGCATACATAGGTGTTGTGCATTGTGACCAGTGACCAAAAGTATTCCTAAAATGCATTCAAAATTCTGTATAATTTGCATGGCTTTCTAAAAACTTTCTATTCTTGAACCCAGATAAAACAGAAGTTATTGTTTTTAGTCCCTCAGAACATAGGGCAAGTATTCAACCCAGTCTCGAGACCTTAAACTCCTTCATTTCTCCCCATGTTCGAAATCTGGGTGTGTTGTTTGATAATTCCTTAAAATTTGATAAACAAATTAGTGCTGTAGTAGGTTCTAGCTTCTTCCATCTTCGCTCCCTTTCTAAAATCAAGTCATTTCTCTCAAAAAGCTCTCTAGAGGTTGCTATCCATGCCTTTATTACGTCTCGGCTGGATTATTGCAATGCCCTCTATTTCAGAATATCAAAGTCCCAAATCTCTCGGCTACAAGTAGTTCAAAATGCAGCAGCTAGATTCTTGAAGTGGTGTAAAAAGTTTGATCATGACACTCCCCTCTTGCGATCATTGCATTGGCTGCCAGTTCACTATCTAATTGAGTTTAAAATATTGCTACTTGTCTATAAATCACTTAACAATCAAGCTCCATCTTATTTGTATGATTTACTCCACCCCTACTCTTCGAAGAGGGGACTAAGATCAGAGGGCACATTTCTCCTTCAGACCCCTAGAACCCGCTTAAAAACCAGATGATCTAGAGCCTTTGAAGTGGCTGGTCCCACCCTCTGGAACAACTTACTAAGATTAATGAATGTTAGAAGAATGTTTCATTGGCAGTTTGTGTTAACTGAATGAACTAATGTTAACTAATGAAGTCCTAATGTAAACAAATAAACAATAAAGATTACAAAAACTGTCAAACAATATCTAGGGCATGTTGTAGTCCAGATTAAAACGTAAAAAAAGTCTGAAAATAAATAGCCTATTAAGTCTAAATATTTAAGTATTTGGCGCTGTGATGAACACCATAGCGAAATACAAAAATCTGAATGGCTATTTAAATCATTTAAATACGTTTTAGAAAGTAGGGCAGCTGCTTTATTTATGGGGTTTCCAGGGTAACGGCTGCATTTTCTGCAGTTTAGCGGCATCTGCTGTCAGAGAGTGTGCGCTTTCATTCAGCGCGTCTCTCACGTGTTCCGTCATGTGCTTCTCATCCGTGCTTGTTTACATCAGAGTGCGCACGCATCTTTCACGCAGCATACATAGGTGTTGTGCATTGTGACCAGTGACCAAAAGTATTCCTAAAATGCATTCAAAATTCTGTATAATTTGTAATAACTAATTATTCTCGATATATCGATGCATATTCAATATCGTGCATATTCATTATCGTGTATTGCATTACCGAATACCGGTACATGTCTAGTGAGGAACAAATTTACACTTCACTGTGTGTCGTGTGTTATGTATGTTATTACCTCTGACAGACAGCCTGTTCAGAAACTGACAGAAAGCTACTCAGGCCATCGTTTTCTCCTTCTTGGAAAGTGATGATGTAGTCAAAACATCCGCTAGTGTGGGTTTTCAGGAAATGTGTGTACTCGCTGGACCTGTGCTTCTCATAAATACTACTGTGTATTGTGCACGTTATTTTTTTGACAGACATCGATGTTGTGATATTCAAATGATATGGATTTGAAAACTAATTGTAAGGTAATTATTTATTTCTCAACTGGCAATTATTCAGTGAAGTGATTGTTTTTAGTCCCTCAGAACATAGGGCAAGTATTCAACTAGGGCTGCACGACTTAAAGTCCTTCATTTCTCCCCAT